ACACATTGTTCACTTTTTGTATGGACAACAGAAATCATTCTTCTCACTGTATGTGTATGCATATGGATACGAATAAGTTCAAATGATAAATGCAAATATGTAACTAATTGTAAGTGTTAAAAATTACAATTAATGCTAAAATATTTTGAGTTGCACAGCTTCTTTTCAGTGGATACAACAATGAAATTGTGTCACGTTTGCACCACTCCACCTTGTTTTCTTGATATCTATCAAAAATCCCATTTTAATGAATGTTCAAATATTTCTGAAACACGCAGATGAAACAATAATTTAGAATTTTGCTATATTTTATAGTTGTCACTGCGATTAAACCTCATGACCAGACCTGTATTTTTATATAGATATATGGAACATAAAGGGAATTTCAGTATTGTACTAATACTGCTTACTTTTATTTCAGGAATAGGTTACAGTCATGGGAAAGATTAAATTCTTGATGAGCATATGAAACTTCAGCTGCTGGAGGAGACAGAATTTTTCTCTCAAAGGTGAAGTCTACATTTGATATGGAGCAAGGTTTTCTGTGCGAACTTCTAATGATAAAAGATAAAAACCCTTCATTCCACTGACTCACTCAACAAACACATTTGAGAAAATATAGAACTGTGGCCTTGGACTAGTGTTCCTGTTCTGTTTCTGGTATTTTGATTTGTCCTCTTAGCTCCACCTCAGTATCAAGATTTATCGCAGGGCAAATTTCCAATTGACCCAGTTTGTGAAGGTTGTGTAATTATGAAAGGTATAAATACATTAGATGTTTTAATGCAAACTGTGGAGATTCAAACATGATGAAGTTTGTGGTTGTCGCTCTCTTCGTTGCTGGAGGTAAGGCTCTTTCTGTCGCTAAAAACGTCACACACGTTTTTGTTACGGCCACGTCTTAATCTCTGCTTCTTGGTATTTCAGCTTTTTCATTTAATGATAATACAGTGCTTTACAACAAACAGTATACAAGTCACAGAGTAAAATAATAATAATAAAGATACAGATAATAAAAGTCATGGACATCATGGGATAAAAGCTTTTTTATTGAGATGTGTATCAAGAAGACAGATGAAACAAAAAAACAAATCTGTTAATCTAATCTCTTCTGGGAGATTGTCCCAAAGTGAAGGGCCCCTCTCGGTCAAGGCTCTATCTCCTTTTGTCTTCAGCCTAGATTTTGGAATGGCTAGCAAAGCTTTACTAGAGAATCACAGACACTGTCCTGGCTCGTAGATCTAAAATATAGGGAGAGGGGTTAAAAACTGCATCCAGGTTAATTAGTTGTGTGAACCAATTCACAATTTAAAAAACAGTCTATCTGTCTGTCTGTCTGTCTGTCCCCTCAGCCTACGGGTGCGGTCTGCCTACCTTCCCCCCGGTGGTGACCCGGGTGGTTGGCGGAGAGGACGTCAGGCCCAACAGCTGGCCCTGGCAGGTAAAACATGCTGAGTGTGGCGTTTTCCCTTTCCCTGCACAGGGTTAGGGACCCTGGTTTACATAAGGGTTAGGGGTTAAAATTAAGAAATACATTCGAGCATGCATTTATTATAATTATCTTCCTGTGTCCTGTGTCTTTTCTACCTGCGGGTACTCCAACTTCCCCCCACAGTCCAAAGACATGTAGGTTGGGGTTAAGTTAACTGGAGACTAAATTGACCGTAGGTGTGAATGTGAGGATGAATGGTTGTTTGTCTCAGCATGTTTGGGTCCGTACCCCGCCTCTCGCCCAGTGTCAGCCGGGATTGGCTCCAGCTCCTCCCCGCAACCCTTAAAGGAGAATAGAACATGAATGGATTGAAGTTGTCGGACAAAAACTCCCATCAGGACATGCAGACTGCAAACAGAATGAAAAAAACTACATTATTCATCCAAAGACGCAAAAAATGTCAGAAAAAAAAAGAACAGAAACCTTAACAATAATATCTTGTGTTCATGTGTATGTTTCAGATTTCCCTGCAGTATAACAGACAAGGTGAGTGGAGACACACCTGTGGAGGGACCCTGATCTCTAACCAGTGGGTCCTCACTGCTGCTCACTGCATCAGGTAGGAGATAGTAGAGCTAAAAGGATTACACCTCCATACTCACACAAACATCTGTATTAGCTATCAGTGAAATGGTTAGTGCTGTATTATGTTGTTCATTCAGAATCATGAGATTTAACTTGTTTCTTACACATTTGATTTAAGAGACGTGCACATGTTGCAAACTAACCTTTAGGACTAGAAGATTAAATGCCGTGTAGGGAGATATATATTTTCACATAGAATCTTCAAAACATGGATGGTAATTGGTTGTTTATTGTGTTTAGAAGAAATCCTACAATCTTACTGCTTTGTATTCCTCTTTCTGTGGATTTAACAGCAGTGGGAGGGAGTACAGAGTGGCCATGGGAAAGCACAACCTGCTCGAGACAGAGGGGGGCGCTGTGTTCATGGGCACTGCTGACATCATTGTGCATGAGAAGTGGAACCCCTTCTTCATCCGGTACATCATTACTCCTGTGAGAGTTTGCTGAAATCTAAAAGGATGATTTCAGTATGTTGAGTGTGTGTGTGTGTTTCCTCTGCAGTAATGACATTGCTCTGATCAAGCTGGAGACGCCCGTTACCTTCTCGGACACCATCATGGCGGCTTGTCTCCCTGCTGCAGGCTTCATCCTCCCCCACAATGAGCCCTGCTACGTCACTGGATGGGGTCGCATCTCCAGTGAGTGCCCAGTCCCCCATTCACTCTTTGAAACTGGTCACTGAAAAGAAGTCATGTTATGGTGACAGTTTCAGATGAGAAATCATTATTTACAGCAGTTTTAATAAAGTATTTTAGACTGTTCACAGGTTTTTTTCACAGATAGCAATTACTGTGTGTGTACTGTATTATAAAGGTTAATGTTGAAACACTATAAGATCATGTGATTTCATGTCAGATGGCCTCAAAGGGCTTATTTTCCAAAGATGACCAACTAATCATATATAATCTCTGTTATAACTCATTTAAGTTTCTTACATTTTTGCTGATCATGATTATTTTTATTAAGTACATGCAATTTATTTGCCTGTAGTCTCTGGTTAACTTGATGAGATACTGAGTGGATTTTAATTACTGCTTTCCTGAAACAAAACACTATAAATTCACTTTCTTGCCAAATGACAATATTGATCAAATCCCCCTCAACCCTTTCACACTAATCAGTCCTGTCAAATAAAGGTCACAAAAGATCTCAAAAATAAATAATTGCTACAGCAGGACAAAACCCACTACACTCAGAGATACTGAAGTTAATGTATTCTTATCCAGCCGCTCTGTATGAGTCAGATTTCCATCCATTAATGTTGTGAAGGTCTCACCACTGTGTCCACTCTCCTCCACACAGCCGGAGGTCCCATCGCTGACATCCTGCAGCAGGCTCTCCTTCCTGTCGTTGACCACGCCACCTGCACCAAGCCTGACTGGTGGGGCTCTCAGGTCAAGGAAACCATGGTCTGTGCTGGCGGAGACGGAGTCGTGTCTGGTTGCAACGTGAGTGTTAATAATGAATGACATGATCACATTATTGTATAAGATGGTAAATCACACCAATTTGCGGTTTGCCAATAATAAAAACTTTCATTGAACAACATAAACAATGCAGAAAGCACACGTTATCACATTTTATATATATATAAAAAAAACCTTAATTCGAGTTCTATATATTTGGTTGTATTTCTGTTTTCTTTTTATTTATAGTTATTCATTATATAAGATCATGGTTAAACTGTAAGACATCAATCCAAATTTGTTTTATTCATTAGCAAATATATTGATATTGGAAATGTTTTACTGCCTAATATCTTGTTGGCCATATGGGTCTGGGTCTAAACCATATGACTAAACTATTAATAATTGATCATGGTTTCAGTCTTTTTTATGCAAAACTACAAGGCAAGGGTTTTCTTATACAATTGAATTGAATATTTCAACTTAAGCTTTTGAAATTGGTGAAATAATGAGACTAATTCTTACACTTACAAACAGCAAGTTAATGTATATTTTGGTCCTTTAACTTCTTATTCAGATTTTTTTCACACTGTTTGAAAATAACATTCAGATCTGCAGTTTCCGTTAAAAGGTCTAAAAATGTAAAAGGACTTCTGTCAGGCATTTTCAGTAATGAGTGCCTTTAAAAGAAGTTACTGTTAGACATGGAAGTGTGGATCATATGTTTCCTCTCATGTGGCTCAGGGAGACTCCGGCGGCCCTCTGAACTGCCGCAGTGCTGACGGGGCCTGGGGCGTTCACGGTATTGTCAGCTTTGGCTCCGGCCTCAGCTGCAACTTCCCCAAGAAGCCGACAGTCTTCACCCAAGTCAGTTCCTACAGCGACTGGATCAGCTCTGTAAGTCCACGACAAAATCTCTCCTTGACTTAGGGGCTTAAGTCCCGAAAACTATTCTGTTATTTGATTTTATTCCGGTTTTCAAAGATTAAACCAGCAAAGAATCAGGATAATATTAAGTAAATGAGTTGCTGCTGAAAACATTATGTTGCTATAAATCTCACGTCTTTATCATTGTTTCCACAGAAAATGGTGGCCTACTGAGAAGACAGTGTTTTGGAGTAAAGGGACAAATGAAATAAATAAAATATTGAACTAAAATTCAATCAAATGTCAAGGTTTTGTGTTATTTTTTCTATTTTACTCTTGGCATCATATGTTGTAGCGGATTTTCTGAATGTTGAGCCTAAAGTAGGATTTTTTATTTTCTGACATCTATATATAATTAAGCTATTTATCTTACAAAGAAAACGCTTGTGTTTTCCAAGTCGAAGCAGTGATGGGAAACTCGTATCACCAACCACATGTTGTATCCTCAGTCTTACAACACTTGTTTGACTTTCTGCGTGTGTCGGCCAGGTCTCGCAGGACAGTCCACACACCACAAGTTCCTAGCCAATAGTATAAATACAACCCTGTTGTTAGCACAGGCTTAGGCTCAAACTACAAACTCTGCAGCCATGAGGAGCCTGCTGGTTCTCACTTTGGTGGTAGCTACTGGTAAGAAAGATTAAATATTCACATATGTTACTAAAATCGAATTCGCTGTTGCATAATCCAGACAAATAGTCCCTTGTGAAGGAGTAAAGAGTGCCAGTCATCATGTTCTATTTGAAAGAGTGGTTATTGTTTAGGCTTCACTGAAATTCGATTTTCTATAATTAATCAAAACGTTGCAAAAAAAAAAAGACCAACTTTTTTATGCTCGTTTTATGCACAATATACATTAATAATCTTCTTGTAGCGTATGGATGTGGTCTTCCCACTTTCCCCCCTGTGCTGAGCAGGGTGGTGGCAGGAGAAGATGTCAGGCCTCACAGCTGGCCCTGGCAGGTAAAGTCCGCAACCACAAAACAGTATCGACTCCACGCTTTCATTTCACTGCTATATAAACAAATACTAACACATACTACTACACATTCCAGTTCCAAATCTACAGAATACGATGAATGAAGGGATGATAGATGGATTTGATTTGTTGGGCGTTAAAATTGTAAGTGTAGTAATTCCGGCTGTCCTGTTTCTCTCAGATCTCGCTGCAGTCAGACAGCAGTGGGGGCTGGATGCATGTCTGCGGAGGCACCCTCATCTCCTCTCACTGGGTCCTCACTGCCGCCCACTGTATCAAGTAAATTTAACCTAACATAAAAAATGTTTAAAAAAATGTCGGGATCCGCCCCCTGATCCAAATCTGCACTAAAAATGTTGTGGGTTCATATCATTCCACAAAATGTCATGTTAATTCGTACACAGTTTTTGCGTAATCCTTCTAACTAACAGACAAACAAAAAACTCATGTCCTCATGATTACTTTTTAAGAGGTGTTTAAACATTACAGCAGATCATTCCATATGTACAGTTCATGAAAGAAATCCTGCATACTACTATATTCCAAATCAGAGTTCTGTGCCAGGAAATACTCCTTTGCCCAAAAGCACATGATTGTTTTTTGGAATAGAAGAGAAAAAGAGATTTTAAACTTTACAGGCAAAGCAAGTTATAAAATAATTTGGTGACCCAAACTGACATACATCACTCCAACAGGACTGCAAAGCATTTGTGACCCACTGTCAGCTTAATAACAGTTTGACACAGGCAGAGAAGTCTAAATCCCAGAGGGAACACCATGTTATCTGCCATCCCACAGCGACCGCTACAACTACAGAGTGGAGCTGGGTAAACACAGCCTGAAGGCGAGCGAGGAGGGCTCCGCAGCTCTGAGCGCAGCTGAGATCATCACACATGAGGACTACAACATTCTGCTCAGCCGGTAACAGCCACAGCTCAATACCACCTGATGAGCGCGAGTAAACCATGTGTAAACACAACATCTGTGATGCACTGGAGAATCTACTGCAGCAAAAACTGAATGTAACCTGTGCTGAGTTTACTTTCACCTCCTGAATGTGGGTGAATTGTTTCTGCTTTTGCAGTAACGACATCGCCCTGATCAAGTTGTCTTCCCCTGTCACCTTCTCTGACACAATCATGCCCGCCTGCCTCCCAGACCCGGGTGTCACCCTGCAGCACGGTTCTCGCTGCTACGTCACCGGCTGGGGTCGACTCTTGAGTGAGTCAAATCACCTCAGCAGAAAAACAAACAACCTTCTGCTACACAACTTACACATAGAGACACAGAAATTCCTGTAATTTTAACGTTTGGAAAAATCTTAACAGTAAATCAAATGTAACAGCGAACTCTGAGGGGAAATGTATTTTTGGTGGAATTGCTACACAACTAGACACTTCACTTATCTTTTCGTCTATATGAATAAAGATATTTTAAATATTAATATTATTAATGTTACGTCAATAATTGATAATGTACAATGCATATAACATGTAAATTGTATCTAATTTTACTTCTTGATATGATTATGATTTTAATATATCAATAGGTAATGATAATTTTTTTATCATTTTATTGCTGAACATTTTTTAATCCAGAATCTTCTTCTAAATGAAAAATACATTGAATTGCTGTATAAATGGTATCTAGTAAACAAGTACAATATAATGCACTTTATAAGCTTATTGTTTTTTTTAATCTTCATCTGAATCGAAGGATATTTCAATTATCATGTCTATGTAGTATTGTAAATAAATACATTGTCTTCTAAAATAATAGAAGTAAAAAGAAGTAAAGCAGAATCTTGTTTCTTACCTGAGTTTCTTCCCCCACAGCCGATGGTCCTCTGGCTGACATCCTGCAGCAGGCTCTCCTGCCAGTCGTCGGCCACAACATCTGCAGGCAGCCCGACTGGTGGAGCGTCCTGGCCACAGACAAGATGGTCTGTGCTGGCGGAGACGGCATCACTGCAGGCTGTAACGTGAGTTCAAACAAACACAAATCTAATGGGTGATTACAGTTACGATCACTAATGTCAACAATAACATTTTCGACATGCGTGGTACAAAAGACTCAAGTAGAGATTTACTCTGCAATAGTGTAGAAGGATAATTTTGCATGACTTGATATTGGTAGCTAGGTGTCTTTTAAGCTACTAGCCAACAATGTGTGTGTGTGTGTGTGTGTGTGCACTGACCTACAGGGAGATTCAGGCGGCCCCCTGAATTGCCAGAACCCTGATGGCTCCTGGGACGTTCACGGCGTGGTGAGCTTCGGCTCTGGTCTGGGGTGCAACATCCTCCAGAAACCCACCGTCTTTACAAAAGTCAGCTCCTACATCAGCTGGATCAACACAGTGAGCAGCACTTTCACTTTGTGATTACCACGCCAGCATAAACATGTGTAGCCTGGGGCCATCACAGGCCTCAGCTTCCAAAGTCAGGAGGTGTGATATAATTATGTTTCTGTTGTTCACTCTGCAGGTTGTGACCAGCTACTGAAGAAACCACCCAAGTGCTTTTTACAGTAATAAGATCAACAATCACCTACAATGAGTCATCTCAGACTTACTATAAACAATGGAGATGCTGTTTGAACGGATAGTTCACCCACAAAATGAATAGTCACTCATTATCAACTCACCACTATGCCTATGGAGGGGTGTGTGAAGTGTTTGAGTCCAAAAAACAGTTTTGGAGTTTCAGGGGTAAACAGTGCTGCAGCCAAATCCAATACAATTTTATTAAATGGTGACCGATTCTTTAAATGTCTAACAGAAACAAAAAAAATGAAAATGTTACCATACTGCTCCTGTGGTGTCATCAAAGTGTCAGTAAGCCCCGACATTCATATTGGACGCAAAATAGCCTCATTTACACAATGTGTTTAGCCTAAATGTCCAATGTGAGGCTGTGGAGGAGGACAACAGAGGACATTTAGGTTACATTTGAAGTGCTCACCAGTAACTTCAATTGTATTGGATTTGGCTGCAACATTGTTTACCCCTCAAACTCCAAAAGTGTTTTGTGGACTAAAATACTTCACCCACCCCTCCATCAGCAGAGTGGTGAGTAGATAATGAATGAATTATCATTTTTGGGTGAACAATCCCTATTAGTAATATCCATGCATGTGGGCAGACATTACAATGATTCAATAACCATGGCAAACACACTTCTTATACACAGGAGTAATTAACAAACACTTTCTTTATTTCTCATAAAATATCCATGAGATAAATTTGTTGTTGCTCGTCAGGAGGAAAACGACAAATAAAAGGAATCATAGAAAAGTATATTTTCACAGCACATATAAAAAAGTAATATATATTTTAAGTGATAAAAAAATGAAACGGACAACAAATGAGTGTTTTGGGCACTTGTCTAAATAAAACTGGTAAATCAAAACACTGTCATTCATAGTAAAACATTATGAGTGTGACACAATGTAACCAGTTGTGCAGTTTCTGGTCCTGAGGTACAATGAGTCTGTCTGCAGTACTGAACATGACGACACATCGAGAATTAACACACAGTGTGACGAGTTTCATAACATGAGACAGATAAGGACATGTGGCTGTGTCTCAATGATAAACCTCAGGTGACTCAGTGACCTCGTAAAAACCTGGTAATATACAGTGTGATATAACCAGCTAACAATGAATGGCAGATTTTCTGCATAAATTACAGCGAGTTTTACTTCAAATGTGCAACTGGGGGGGATGATGTCTTGTGCAGCTTCACCAATTTTTAAACATTTTAATGAATGAAAGTAAATCATTCAATTTGGCCTCAGTTGTCTAACCTGAAGGAGAAAGAAGAGCTTGTTGAAGTATTGATAAAGCTTTCTGCGATGACGGAACTCAAAACTGTTCCTCTCTCTCTCTCGAGCTGTCTCTCTCTCTCGAGCTGAGCTGCGGGTTGAGCTGTGGCCGGGGGAATGTGATGAACAAGAGAGTGAGTAATAGCTGCTGTTATTATGGCGCAGCTGCACAGTCAAAGAGTCTTTTCTGTTGGTCATCTCCAGTAAGAACAAGAACACGCCCCAGAGAGATGCAGCTAAAGGCTACGCTGCTGCCTTCACAGCTCAACAGCATTCACCACGGCTACAGCCAGCGGCTCTCACATTCACAAGCTGCTTCTATCGTGCTCTCACACACACTTCCTTCTCTATAGTGGAAGAGCCACTTTACAGCCCAAGTTCAGTCACACTATAAGTCTTATGAAATGCTTTAGGAGGAACAACAGTATTGCTGTGAACACAAAGACATGTATCTGTACATATGAACAATTCTATCCAATTAAAAATATTAATGTCGGTCAATATTGATAATTATTGAGATAAATGTGAAATTATTATTTCTATTAAGACTCATTTTGCTCCTGAGGTTGTGGGTTTGAACTCTCAAACACTGAGGTACATCAATTACTGTTTGCACATGTGTAAGCAATATTTTTATATATATTGGACTTTTATTGTATGGATAGATAAATATGATAATGCAGTAATGATTTTATGTTATTGCCCAACCCTCGTTAGCATTAACCACTACGCCCCTACTACAGACACCATGAAATGACACAAGCTACTGGAAATGGTTTCTTTCTATTCCTATAAAATGACAACTTATTGGTGACCATTGATGTGAGGGTAAATATAAATATAAATCATTGAATACAGTTCATCGTGGATATTTCAAATAACAGCCAAGACACCAGCTAATTCTTTATCCTGAATGGCCTTTAGTTTCATACTTATCCAACCAACCGTCTTTGCATATGTAGCATGTATGTTTGAGTCTAATAGAAGCATATCGACTAAACCATGGCTGAAAAAGCTTTTTAAATGTGTTTGTACTTGCAACTTTCCAGTTACACTCCAATGGAATGCTTATTAATTCAGTAGTTTCGAGTTGTTTAGTTCAGCAACAGCTTGCTATCTCATTAGCCACGATACATCGATAAACTCAGGGCAAAGTTTCTTTAGGCATCTTTGTGCCCTCGACTTCTCAAAAGGAAGTACTAATTTATGGTGTCAATCATAATAAAATATAACACTAAAATCATTAATGCATAGAATTTTAAACCTTATCAAGATCCTTTATACCAACTACCTCATTAACACATGAACTCCTTCACTGTTATTAAGCTAGCTTTCGTTTCACAAGTTCTGGCCCGATCATGTGCTGCTGGTTTTTAACATGTGTTTCTATAGAGAAAAGTTCTTCTTTCTCTACTAATTGAGTTATTTCTTTTAAGATGGTTCTGCAATTTTCTTTTTTAATGTAGCTGATAAACACTAAACAAGCCTTGTAGTATCTTAACTAAAAATACAAATTACTGATATGGTTTTGGCTGATACGATATATCAATATTTATTTAAAAAACCCAATTAATGCGTTTAAGGTTTTTAGGCAGACACACAGAGGAGACTGAACCAAAGGCAAACTAAATAGAAACTAATATGGACGACGGGCAGGACTGCAGATCTGTATAAAGGACAGTAGATTCTCTTTAACACCAGTTAAAACATGTCATTTTCTGCAAAGCTCCAGTGGACCATGAGTACTGTAATGAAATGTACAAATACTGATGATAATGAGGGTAAACTGCTGGCAGTGGTCATCTTATCGTTCAACACTGCCCACTTCATCCATTTGGTGGCTGCTTTGCTTTGAATCCAGCGTGCCCAAAAATGATCCAGCACCTATGTTCATCCCCAAGTGTCTGAAGCTGTTTCAGAGATTCCAAAATTTTCAAAAATAAAGTTTTATTCTGTTATTTACTTTGGAGTGATGTGGCATTCATGACAGAGGTTGACTGATACATTTAAAAAGTGCCACTGAGTAATAAGAGCCGTTTTCAAGCCTTGGCTGGTCGAGGCAGATCTACATCCACAGAAGTTGATCATTGCAGATTCCAGGAAGTTCAGTAGATTGTTTTAAACATGATCAACTTGATCTTAAATTGGAGGCACTTTGTCTTCATACTGCGGGGGTGGAGTCAGTGGCTCTATACTGATTCCAGCTGCTGGCTGAGAGTTATCAATGGTTTTCATGTGCAGCTTCTCTGATTTAATCCTGCGGATCTTGATGGGGAGGAAATTGCGGCTAGTTTTACCGGCTCTGCGGTTTGATGCGGAGGTGGCAGCAGAGGGAAAACTGGAAGCCGGGGCAGGTGGCTGCAATCCAGTATTTATGACCTCCGATCCCTCGTGTTCATACTGCACTCCATCGACTTCAACCAGGTCGTCATAGGAAGGTAGATTCGAGGAGCTTGGGCAATGGTTGCTCTGACGAACGGGGTACTTGTCACTGTCCACGGCCTCTTCATAGGTGGGTACAGCATACCTCTGGGCTTGTTCCTCAGCACTGTAGACATGTATGACAAAGAAAAGTTACCCAACATAAATTTTGTTAAAAGAAATAATATAAATATCATCTCCAATCAAATTCCAATGACTAATTTTTTCAAGCTGACAGGACATTTCATTTTGGTTTTTTTTAATTGCGTCATATGAACTTTAGCCGTGGCTTTATCTCTGCTTTAACTTCCAGGTCAAATGGCGTACAGTATGAGAAAGATAAAACCCACTGTTACCCAGTTAGTCAGTCAGCTGTTTTTTTCCTTCCACTGTTTGCATTGGTCTCTCGTAATGGATTGCGATTATTCATTGCCGTTTACTTCCAGTAAAGCGTAGGGTAACCAAGCGACCCAGAAAGATTATGGGAAAAGAAATGGTGGTGAAGATAACTCCCATGATCCCACACTGTTTTATGATGTCATTGAACGAAAGCTTCAACAGAACAGCTTCAAGCCCGACCTATCCCAGCATTCATTGTGCTTCAGTGACCATCTTCTTTTGGTAATGGCGCTGGCAAGCAACCCGAGTATCACGTTTTAACTCAACCAAAACAGCTAATGGTACAAATGTTAAAAAAAACCAAGGGGCATTAAAAGTTTCTTGTCATGTCAACTTAAACTCTGTTGTTTAGCAACAGCAAAAAGGGGGAGACAAGCTGGTTATGCCAATATAGAAGTCCTCTGTAGACCAGACTGTCTCGTTTCACTTCAGCCATCACTGTCTACTCAGCCCATGAAGGCCGCCTCCTTAATGGGCTGAGTAGACCACGTCCTCAGATGGATGCAGCCCTGAATTGAGACACAGCTTAGGTCTTTTGTTATTTTTTTGGATTGAGAAATGCCTAGTGGCCGAAGTTGTGCAAAATAACTAACTTTAGTAAAACAAATCCACAGATGCATTCCTCTGACATTTTTAAGGAAACCAGCAAAAAGAATCTGCACAGTTACTGGTGTATCACTGGTAGTTTACATGGTCTAATCAATTTTTAATCACAAATATGACGTCACGTCTCGGCCCATCACACACCATAAGGACAAACTTTTGGAAAAAGACAAATTCAAATCAACACTGGACTCACGTTTCTCTCTCCTCTTGCTCTGTATCTGCCACTCCTCTGTTGTTCTGGGCCTCCTGGAGACTCCGCTGCTCTCGCTGTTTGTTCCTCATTCCCACACACAAGGACAACAGCAGCATGACCACCCCAGAACCCACCAAGACGAAGGCCACAGACGAGGCTTTATTTTTCCTGCTCCCAGTGTTACTGTCCTCTCCTGAGCTACTGCTGTTATTACTGGATGGGTCTGCGGGTACGACGCTCCACACAATCATCACTACTCCGAGGGCGATGAGCCCAACACCGAGAGCACAGAGAGCATACTGGGAACCTGAGTTTCCAGTGTTTTCTCTGTTGATATGGTTATGGTTATGGTTATTGATGCCAGCTCCTCCTCTGCCAAGACGGCTCGGTGGTAGATCCACACTGGAACGCATGTTGTCAGTCCCCAAACTTCAGTCTGACCAGCTGCAGAGAGGTCAGAAACTGTTGAGAGAAAGAAATGTGATATCAGACACAATGATATAACAGAATGACATTATCATTGATCAGTAAAGGAATCTGAAACTGATATGCAGTATATGATTCCTTAGAATTTGTTATCAAGCCCTCAAACATTCGACCCTGGACTTAATTATAAATAGCTTAAAATTAAAAACAATTAGAATAGAACCAAATATAAGGAACTTGAATTGAGAAAATAAACTTTTTAACTTTAAATGTAAACATCATAAATACACATCATTTCTGGATAATTTGTTCTGAATAACAATGGGTTTCTGAAGTATTTCCCCAACATAAACACTGATATCGATATGTTTGTGAAAATACACAGATCTGTTTTCTTCCTTTTAATTATATCGTATTAACCATTAAGTGTTGCATGTGAACACACAAATGAAGTAGCATTGATCGGCAGTTTCTACCCAGTAAAACGATTCTCTGAAACAGCCAGAAGGCAAATTTACAACATGCATAACAATGTGCCGGTTACAAGGCCACGGCTCCTGTGCAACCTTTTAAATATTTGCTAGATCAGAGAGTAAAGTAGTTGTCTACTGGGAACTAAACTTACAGTCCAGGAACTGAACTGTGTATGAATAACCTCTCTGGCCATTCAAGAATGTCTTCATGAAGTGCTCATACCACAGGCTTATCCTCGCATACCCCAACAAAGTTTGACTGCGAACACGCCCAGACCTGCTGGGAGAGTGACAGAGGGGATCTGAAGTCAGGAAAACCCAGCTCCATTATAGGAAAACCCCCAACCACACCCCCCCACTGAAGAATGCACGGCATGAGGCCCATCATCACAGTTGGACACATGTAGAATCATAATATCACACATTAAAGTCCCCTCAGGAGAATGTTACATGTGGCAGGGTTGGGTGAAGGTGTCACATATCATGGAGATCTGTGAGCTTTGCTGCAGTCCAGCCTGGAAGGTTGTGTTTAACCAAAGGACAGGTTTTAAAAGTGAGTAAGACACTGACAGGAGAACTCATAAAAAGACCCCCATGCTAATAGCCATATACTACCAAGAACTCCTGAGAGGAGGGGGGG